CATACCTTGTTTAAAATAAAATGAAAAATTGATACTTGGGGTTGTCGAATGTTTGAAAGTTCTTATGTCGTAATAATTAAATTTACATCACAATGAGTTGATAGTCATTTTTGTCGACGTTTCGTGAACATTTTTTTATGTTCTCCTAATATTCCATAACAATTATAATGCTATAAATTCCTCATTAGTTTCTATAGAGTTTCTCCTATAAATATGTAAGACAAAATACGTTTTATTGCATGTTCGTAATCATTTCAAGGAAATTTAAAACAATCCTATAAAATGAAACGTTTAAATCTGAAATTTATATGTTGAACTTTTCCTGCATAAGTGGTGCTAACTTTGATAAAATTAATATTGATTTATTTTCCCTAATAGATTTGGTCAAACACTGATGAACACAGAACGAGAATAGGCGGCAATAGTAACAAGAGTTCCTACCCTGCTGGTCAGTGATAAGACGTTTCCTACCCTGTTGGACAGTACTAAAACGTTTACTACCCTAATGTTCAGTAATAAGATGTTTCCCACCCTGCTAGTCCATATTAAGATTCCCTACCCTGCTGTACAATACTAAGACGTTTCCTACCCTGCTGGTCAGTGCTAAGATGTTTACCAACCTACTGGTCAGTAGTAAGACGTTTCATACCCTGCTGGTCAGTACTAAGACGTTTCCTACCCTGCTGTTCAATACTAAGACGTTTACTACCTTGCTGGTCAGTGATAAGATTTTCTACCCAGCTGTTTAATACTAAGACGTTTCATACCCTGTTGGACAGTACTAAGACGTTTACTTCCCTAATGGTCAGTAGTAAGACGTTTACTACCCTGCTAGTCAATACTAAGATGTTTACTACCCTGCTGGTCAGTGATAAGATTTTCTACCCAGCTGTTTAATACTAAGACGTTTCATACCCTGTTGGACAGTACTAAGACGTTTACTTCCCTAATGGTCAGTAGTAAGACGTTTACTACCCTGCTAGTCAATACTAAGACGTTTCATACCCTGCTCTTCAATACTAAGACGTTTCACATCCTACTGGTCAGTAATAAGACGTTTCCCAATCTGAATGAATTGTTATCAAACATATATATATATACAGATAAAAAAATCATTTTGTTATAACTTATAATTGTATCGGTACTACAAGTAATTTCTTATCAGTTTTTCATTACTAAGTTTTGAAGAATTTGAGTTTTATCAGAATTACTGAGAGAAACACTATGGCAAAAGTTGTTTTTTCATTTCTAGAAAATTTGCCATGTAATAAAAAAATATTATCTCAAATTATTAGAAATAAGAAAACTCTCTAATTTTATAAGTATTCTGTAGAAGAAGAAGTATTCGTTACGTTCACCGTGGAACAATTTTTAGGGTGGGGTGTTGAAAACCATTGATCATAATTGTAACTCCTGTATGTAATGGAAACCATTCATCTTCCCTGCATGCCAGAGGAGGTTCTCTGCCCTTGGTCCCTTAAAAGTTGATTAAATGTTTATCGTAGGTTATTTCCACTGATTGGACAACATAAGTATAAACAGTAATTTCTGTTAGAATAACGAATTCTTTATTAACAGAAAGATAAGATAACAAAAGCTTGAAGAAAATATACTATGGTTGGTACTAAGTTGAGCTGATTTTATGTACCTAAAAGAAACTATAGAGACTTAATTTTTAGTTACAGTCACATAGTGGCATTATTATCTTTGTTAAAAACTAGTTTGTCACATTTTGAAAAAAAAAAATACTCAGAAAATGATTAAACTAAACTGGAAACAAACACCAACAAATTTGAAAATTGTACTTATATATATATATATAATAGTCAGCGGTAAGTTTGAAGGCTTATAACGCTAAAAATCAGGTTTCGATATCCGCGGTGGGCACAACACTAATAGCCTATTGTGTAGCTTTGTTTGTCGATGGGTCAGCGGTAAGTTTCCTGATCTATAAAGATAAAATTACGGGTTTGATTCTCCATGGTGGAAGAGGCGCAAATGGCCCATTGTGTAGCTTTGCGCTAAAAAAAAAAGAAGCTCCTACAGTCACAGACTCACTGCGAAATACCAAATGTTTATAAAGTGTGACATACATAGGCTAATTACAAGCAGGGAATTGTTTTCGTTGTGGCAATAGTAGATAGGTAAATATTAAAAGATGACAGGTTTGCTGAAAGACAGCAGAAAATTGTATCGTTCTCATCAAACTAATAGTAACCTGACGCTATGATGATAGCAGTATAAAACTAAAATCATGTGGCATTTCATTTACGGATGACATTATTGTAATTTGACTAGAGCGAGTAAGTCTGTTAAATGATGATAAAATAAACGAAAAAAACATGTTAAGATATACTTACAAAAAGAATTACACGATTAATCTTCGAAGGTTAAAACTCAATTGGACAACTACATGTGGAAACTGTCACGCAGTAAAATAAGTATATCTTGCTCTATCGTTTCCTGATGGCCAAGTGGCAAACTGCAGGGCTTATAATGCTATATAATTTAAGGGTTATAATTCCACGGTGGATTTTGGAGTATATTTTCGCGGGAAACAACATCGTTCTTTTTGTAATTTTAAAAATAGGATGATCCATTTCTCTAGTAAATCCACAAAGATAAATATGAAATAAAAAAAAAGAAATGCTTACAACTATCGATGATATATTTACATTTTTCTCGTAAGCTTAAAATCTGCCATTTTATCACTGTCTGTGATTGTAATGATTCAGTAAAATGGCTAGTCAATAATCAATGTATTAGACTTATGATATTAACAGAACTGACTTATAGTGGTAATTAACTACCTGTAAACAATGTCGCGATAGTGGTAATTAATACTCTTAATTTTGTTATAGGCTAGAAGACAGTAGTCGTAAAGTTGACTGACGACCATGTTTGTAACGGATATCTTGCTGTAGTCAAATCAAGAATAACCTGCTCGTGATCGCTGGAAAAACGTGGGCTGAAGATATTAGTATGTAAAATTCGTGGATGTGACATGACAGCAACGGACAGTTGATAATTTATCAATATATGAACTTGTCATTTGAATAAGGTTTGAGATCAGTAAGAGGGTGATCCGACAGGAGAGGAAGAACGTCTAATCACCTATATGGTTTGAGATCATTAAGGGGGGTTGGTCCGGGTAGAGATGAATAAGGTCTAATCACCTATAAGGTTTTAGATCATTAAGGGGGTGGTCCGGGTGGAGAGGAATAAAATCTAATCACCTATAAGGTTTGAGATCATTAAGGGGGTGGTCCGGGTGGAGAGGAATAAGGTCTAATCATCTATAAGGTTTGAGATCATTGAGGAGGTGGTCCGGGTGGAGAGGAATAAGGTCTAATCACCTATTAGGTTTGAGATCAGTAAGAAGGTGGTTCGGGTAGAGAGGAAGAAGGTACAATCATCTATAGTTTTTCTGCATGCACTATATAACGGACAGTGTTAAGGAGGAAAGAACTGTTGCTGGTTTATATTAAAACAATTTTGCTAAAGCTCTTGGAGTAATTGAACTCAGCTATACCTACAGGTTTCTGTTAAGGTTTCTACACAAAGAGTGAACTTTTCGTACTTTTTATTGATTTTGTTGTTGTTGTTGTTTATAAGTTGTTAACTCTTAATACACGCAATCAAACGTACTTCTACCTTCAAGAAAGAACAATCCACTCAGTTTTTGGTGTGCTTCACCTTGCCCCAAATCACATAAATTCAGTTTCTGGTGTCCTTCACCTAGCCCCAAATCACATACACTCAGTTCTTGGTGTTCTTCACCTAGCCCCAAATCACAAACACTCAGTTCTAGGTGTCCTTCACCTAGCCCCAAATCACATACATTCAGTTTCTGGTGTCCTTCACCTTGCCCCAAATCACATACATTCAATTTCTGGTGTCCTTCATCCTGCCCCGATATTTTTTACACTTGAATATCATAGTTTGTTTTAACCAAGTTTACTAGAAGCATAAAACGCAACGTCTAACTCGTCGGTCTTCTTAGTTCTGTAAGCCCGAGGCTTTCATCCTGTGAAGAAACAAGTCCCATTCCCGAAGGATCCGGAGACGGGCGTGCGGTGGAGAGGGGACCGACGTTCGAAGACATATAAGGCACAAGCTGTCCGAGACCGTACATAGAGCAGCCGGATGGGCTAGGGACACCGGGCGGATAGCCGAAGAGCCAAAGCCTGTCTCCAATAAACATTGGACGAGCAGCGTGAAGCCCCAGTGATTGGCAGTATTGTTGAGCCATGACCTCTAAGTCACTTGTGTACTTCCGCTTCCACTTCGTCCTTCTATTCTGGAACCAGATCTTAATCTGAAAACAAACAAACAACGTATATATATTATACGTTGCAGTAATTCTGAAGCCATCTGTAAAAATAGTAAAAACAATATAAATTTTTAAGTTGATTTCTTTACCACTAATAGTTATCGAGGAACAAAATGATATTACCGTAGAGTTTGATAAGGACTATTTGCTCATAGCCATTATATAAGGAAATCGTATTGCCTTAGTTTCATAAAGTGTTATCTGCGCATAGCCGTTCCTAATTTTGAGGACCTGGCATGGCCAGGTGGTTAGGGAACTCGATTCTCACACTGAGGGTCGCGGTTTCGGATCTCCACCACACCAAACATGCTCGTCTTTTCAGCCGTGGGGACGTTATAATTTGACGGTCAATCCCACTATTCATTGGTAAAAGAGTAGCCCAAGAGTTGGCGGTGAATGATGATGACTAGCTTCCTTCCCTCTAGTCTTTCACGACTAAATTAGGGACGGCTAGCGCAGATAGCCCTCGTGTAACTTTGCGCGAAATTCAAAAACAAACCCTAATTTTTAATTGATAGACTAGAGTGCTGGCAATTATAGTGAGCATTTGACAAAGAATTAATACTATAAAGTTTCACAAAGAACATACAGTCATGATAATGTCGATGATTTCGAGTTGTTAAATAAATCGTTAATTTGTTTGTTTGTTTGAAGTTAAGCACAAAGCAGCACAATTGGTTATCCGTGCTCTGCCTACCACGGGTATCGAAACCTGGATTCTAGCGTTATAAGTCCGTAGACATAACGCTGTGCCACTGGGGAAGGGAGGGGGGAGCAAATAAATCGTTAAAACGACCAAATCATTGTTGGCTAACAGAGTATTACATTATGAGTACTTTAATTAAAATGACTAGGCATGCATGCACCTTCCGGTTCAAAGTGGCATAAACGTTGACTGTCTTTATGTTATCCTGATTTTCAGCTGTTGATAACTGGCGAAATCGTTATCCGGATGTCTGTATTATTATTTATAATTATTTTATATACATATAAGCATTATTTTTGCAAGCTTGTCTGATTAAGAAGTACCTTCGTTACGAACTGGCGTGACTGGTAACTTATGAATGAAGATTACAGAAAGTTTCTACAATAAAGTAGAAATATATATATATATATAGCTTCACTGTATAGTTGAACGAAAGCACCAAGAACGTGCACAGAAGCACACATGTTTTAGTAAAACTCGTAGAACGAGAGAACCAAGAACGTGCACATAAACACACGTTTTAGTAAAACTCATAGAACGAGAACACCAAAAACGTGCACATAAACACACGTTTTAGTAAAACTCATAGAACGAGATTACGCATCGCCAAAAGTATAATAATTTTAGTCTTATTCTTTATTTTATTCTAATTAGGCTACGCAATGGGCTATCTGTGCTCTGCCCACCACGGGTATCGAAACCCGGTTTCTAGCGTTGTAAGTCCGCGGACATACCGCTTTGCCACTGGGGGGGTATTCTTTAGGCCAGTCTTTATGGCAAATGACTTTCTCGTTTCAGGAATGATATTCAATAACACATAGGTGTGTTTATGTAAAACTGGAAATTCCATTAATATGAAGATTCTTCATACAAATAATTAACTTCGAGAACTTTCCTTTGACGAGTAAAATCAAACAGCGAGTTTTTAGATCTTGTTCCTTATATTGCCAACTTATCATGATGCTTTAGTTTCTTAATGTACTACCAATACTATTAATATAATCGAATACATTTTTTAGGTCATGAAATTGCGTCGTATTTTAATTCTCATGTGTCGAGCCGTTTTCGTTTTGTGAAGATTGAATCAGGTTTTGATGTAACCATAAACCACGTTTTCCTTCCCCCTGGATATAAACAGGAGAAAATTGCAATGTGGGTTGGTTGAAGTTAAGCACAAAGTTACACAATGGGCTATGTGTCTTTTTGCCCACCACGCGTATAGAAACCCGGTTTCTAGCGTTGTGAGTTCCCAGACATACCGCTGTGCCACTGGGGGGGCAAATTGGGATGTAACAATCTTGTTTCGAAGTGGTAATTTAGATGACTCATACTTCCATGTTTCATGTGTTGCGTTGTATGGAAACAAAATGCATTTTAAATTGTTTTTTTGTGGAAAGTTCTATAAAACATGGTTGTACCTAAATATGGAGCTGGGAAACTCAGCCCACATCCTCTTAGGTTGTTTATAAAATTAGGATTTAATTTTTTTAAATATTAATTGTTAAAAATTTAGTATTAAAAAATCCCATACATGTAATTTTTTACGAAATAGAGATTTATCTGAGTTTATATTTATTTATTTAAAGTATATACGATCTTAAGTACATGCATAGTAAAGTAGCTAAAGGACTTTATAATCTAGCCACCTCCCAGCCCTCCTACTGTAATTTCATTATTACATCCATTTAATACTATTAGTCAATCATATGAGCTAGAAACTCTCATTGACAATGTATCTCAATGAGTTTTGTGGTCTTGTGTGTTTTTCGTAGAGCACAGCCACATCGGGCTATTTGCTGTGTCCACCGATAGAAATCGAACTCCTGATTTTAGCGTTGGTTTAGCGGGGGACTTTTGTGTTCTTAATGTCATTGCTAAGTAATGGCGCAGACACCGAACTGGGGTTTAGAGGAATTTTCATGATCAAAAGGCTACTTCTCAAGTGTTAATCCCTCGGTTAGTCAGCGGTAAATTTAAGGATTTGCGACGCTAAAATCTGGGATTTGATTCCATGTGATGGACAGAGCATGTGTAGAGTATTGCGTAGCTTCGTGCTAAAACGAACGAACTTAGTAATAGTAGTATCAAAATTGGAAGAGCTATTTCCATAACCAAAATTGAATCATAAGTAAAGATATGAAACGTTATTTGGTAAATATCAAAGTTTTTCTGATAACTTTATTCTATAGTATATCTATAATGTAAATACAAGCCTTCCGTCAATTTAAAGCAAACTTGAACAATTCCTTTGCTGTTTCAGCAATAAGATCAGTTTCCATCTAAGCTCAACCTTTGATACAGTCGTTGGTCTGTTACTAGTTCAGTTTCTGTTTAGAAATGTATAATGTTTTTAATTTGTTATATGTGTCATTGTTCGAATACTGCTGGTTGTCCTGAGAAACCTCTACGTTGTTTACTTCAAGTTCGTTTTATTAAAACTTGTAAAAACCATAATTCGTTGAATTTTTTCTAACTTTTCGTTACTCCAAATTCACTTCGAACGTTAATTTCATATGCGATTTATTTTCGTACTTGAAGATCGGCCCCGCAACGACTCAGCGGCAAATCAGAAGGCGTATAACACCAAAAAACGAGTTTTTATACTCGTGGTGGGCACAGCACAGATAGCCCATTGTGTAGCTTTGTGCTTAAGTCTAAACAAACAAACAACGTAGTATGATGACCATACTCGTGGCAGGAAGCTTTAGAAGTGGACATCGATGCTGATGGCTTGTACGCTTGGATAACTTAGCGATAGAGAAATACTTCTGTTACTCGGAGTTCCTGGGTTAATAACAACCAAACAAACAAAAGTTCAAGATGGAAGGTGTGTCTTACTTAACAAAAGTTCAAGATGGAACATGTGTGTTACTTTACAAAAGTTCAAGATGGAAGGTGTGTGTTACTTTACAAACGTTCAAGATGGAAGGTGTGTCTTACTTAACAAAAGTTCAAGATGGAAGGTGTGTCTTACTTACAAAAGTTCAAGATGGAACATGTGTGTTACTTTACAAAAGTTCAAGATGGAAGGTGTGTCTTACTTAACAAAAGTTCAAGATGGAACATGTGTGTTACTTTACAAAAGTTCAAGATGGAAGGTGTGTCTTACTTAACAAAAGTTCAAGATGGAACATGTGTGTTACT